TATCCGAGCCCGCGTGTCCACGGTGCTTCTCGGCGTGCGTACTTGTAATCCTAGTTCCAGCAGTAGTAGGACTGCGCGGCCGCGGTGCTTCTCGGCCTCCGAGTTTCTGCGGTGCTTCTCAGCCTGCAAGTTTTGCCGACTGTCCGCTTCACACGCCGCTCCTCAGTGCGCCCCTCTTCCGTTTGCGAGATGTCTTCCAAGATTTGGTTGGAGGCCGAGAAAGACGGACAGAACAAATCCAAGTAGCGCGGTCATCATCCCATCATCCTCCTCAATCATCACATCATCATCAATGGCTTCGCCGAGCACCCCGGTGGAGACTCAGGTCTTACGGGTCCGTGCTACTACTACTACTACTACTACTACTACTACTACTACTACTACTACTACTACTACTACTACTACTACTACTACGACTACTACTACTACTACTACTACTACTACTACTACTACTACTACTACTACTACTACTACTACTACCACTACCACTACCACCACCACTACTACTACTGCTACTACTACTACTACTACTACTACCACTACTACTACGACATCACACTAAATCCATGCATGGGAGTGCCTGTTTCGGAGCTACATTCATTGATGCAAGTGTGTCGTTTGAGGCTCAACCCGTTGATAGCAGTGTCTCGTTTGGAATCACATCCGTTGATAGCAGTGTCTCGTTTAGACCTCAATGCATGTATACAAAGATCTGATTTGGAGATACCGTTATCGAAAGCAGTGTTTCTACTGCTACTTCCACTGCTCCCATCACTCCTACTCGTTCACTCCACACACTACAACTACTATTTCACTGTTACCACTACTACCATCACTACTACTTCTACTGCTACTACTACTACTGTTACTATTACTGTTGCTGCTGCTGCTGTTGCTGCTGCTAGTGTAGCTATTGCTACTGAAACTACTGGCAGTGCCACTGCGACTGCCACTGATGTTGCCACTGCGACTGCCACTGCGAATCCGAATGCGACTGCGAGAACACCAGAATTCTACAACAGCACTCTTACATGAGTACCACAAACAATGTTTCCAGCTATGCTTCTACACATCGCTGTTAGGTTGCTTTGCCGGGATAATCTTTTGAAAATGCTGAATTTCTGCTTCCGGCGCCCGGGAGGCCTACCGGGCCGATTCCGACGCCCGGGCAGGCGCCTGGGCCGGACGCCCGAGCCGGCGCCTGGGCCGGCGCCCGGGCCGGGTCCGGAGCCGGTTTCGGCCGGCGCCCGAAAATCGAGTTCCGAGGCTGCGCCGAAAAAAAAACAATTCCAAAACACATTTTTTTTTTTTTGAAAATATTGAATTCTGCTTCGAGTCTCCCGGGCCGATTCCGACGCCCGGGCCAGCGCCCGAGCCGGCGCCCGGGCCGGACGCCCGAGCCCGCGCATGGGCCAGCGCCCGGGCCGGGTCCGGAGCCGGTTCCGGCCGGCGCCGGAAAATCGAGTTCCGAGGCGGCGCCGAAAAAAGGCCATTCCAACACACATTTTTCTTTTGAAAATGCTGAATTCCTGCTTCTGGCGCCCGGGAAGCCTCCCGGGCCGATTCGGGCGTGCTTCCGCTCGTTCCGAATCGTGCTCCCGCTGCAGCGCTGGCCTCATTTCCGCGCTTCCGCTCGTCTCGAGTCGTGCTCCCGCTGCAGCGTTGGCGTCATTTCCCGCGCCATGCCACCGCATGCAATGCAATGCTAGGTTGATACTACGCTTTGCGGTGCTCTTCTACGCCATGCCACGCCGTGCTCTACAATGCATCACGTAGTTACCCTTTCGGGATCATTGCCCTGCTCGACATCCGACTGTGCGAGTAGAGAAAGGATTTGCGCCATGGTAAGGGATGGGGGGGAGGGGTAGGATGTCAGATATGACGCGAGCACACCTAGCTTGTTCCCCTCCCCCTCCTCCTCCTCCTCTCTCCTCCTCCTCCTCCTCCCTTTCCTCCTCCCCTCCTCCTCCTCATCCTCCCTTTCCTCCTTCTCCTCCTCATACTCCTTCTCTTCCTCCCCGCCCGTATCCCCTGCCCCCCCCCCCGCGCCCCTCCACCCCCCTCCAATCGTCCTCGCCCTAAGAGGTGCAGAGCAGGCTGTCTGGCACGATGAAATCTCTGCTTCGTCGCTTGCTGCCAGCCCATCTGTCTGTCAAGACAGGCGTTCACCTCAGCGACTGTTCCGGGGGAGTCTGGACACTTCGCTGCCGCGTGTCCTGTTTTATTCAAGACGAGAAGGCCAACAAAGAGGGCAAGAACATCAATGGTGTTGGAAAAACTTGTTGTTGCGGCCTGTGTGCAAATAATTTGAAGGCGTCCCTGAGAGAGTCGCGAGCTCCAGCGCAGTTCGCCATTGCGCGCTTGCTGGGCCGCATGAGTTTGCGTTGCATACGAACGAGTCGATTGACAAATGTTGCGACGACCCGGCTACATTCATGTTGCAATGGTGAAGAGCGAGAAATGAAAGTTCGAGGTCATGCAAACATCGGTCGACATATGTTTCGACCCGAGTGGCCTTTTGTTCGACCGTGAGTTGCGCGCGTGTACTTTTCGTTTGGCGGGATAGCCCAATATCGCATGAATTTGATGGTCACTGAAGTCACAAAGTCCATCAACAGTAAGTTTAGACTGATGGCAGAGCGCATTGTGCGATGCAGCACCGCGGCAAAGTGTCTTCGCCGTTGTTTGTTCCAGGAGAGGTTGTCTCCGACCCGAAGTTGTAACCCGCTCATTTGAAACGCTTCGCAAGCGAAACAATGCCGTGCGTCCGCGCATTGTATTTTTTGGTACTGATGTTCTGGAAGCCAATGGGCACCTCTCAGATCATATGAGGTGTTTGAGGTTGTTGCTTGCTAAATTGCAGCCCGCGGTTTTCTCCACCATGCCCCTGCGGCCGCAAGCGCCCTTCTCCCCGTGATGCCCCCCTCATCCCCTCCATTATCCAGCCCCCCCTCCTCCTCCCGCTCGTTTTCCACCTTCACCCCGTTCATCCTCCGCCAGGAATTGGGGCCGACCTGTAAGACTCAATCATGCGGTGCGTTGCGGGTTGCCCACTCGCGGGGGGTGGCGGGCCACGTTGATTTCTTCCAGCGGCGACGCCGCCGTTGCGCATGCAATCACATCGAGCCGCGCGGCGTAGGATTACTGCGTTATGTTTCGAGGCCCACGCGCCGTAGCTGCGTGTAAAATCAAGGTTCACTTCCAGCGCCACATTCTGCAGTCGTTCAGACTGCGCGGCATGAACCTAGCTTGATTCTCCAATGGGAGCAGGAACCGTTTTTGCCAGCAGGCTACTAGCCACCATGCACGCGTGTTAGGTCGTGACTCATGTGTGGACTTGTGGGTTCTCGTCCCAAATTTGCCAGCTCGGGCCCTGAGCCATTGTAACCCAGCGCTTGGGTCAGCTTTGGCCCAGATTCGAGTGAACTGTGAGCTTGGCTTCAGCGTAGGCGTGCCCAGTGCTTACCTCCCAAGTGCCAGCGCAGCAGTTTGACCCCGAGTGAGCCAGAGCCAAGCTGCGTGTCTGTTAGCCCAGCGGTCAGCCTGGCCACTGCCAGCCAGTTTTGGTTGGACTTCTCTGTGATGTGTTTCATGTAGATTTCCTTGCTTAGCCGTCAGCCTTGCTATCATCGGGTCGGGCGAAAGGGGGGGTTGGGGAAAGGGGGGGTTACGAAATTGCTGCATGCAGCTGGTTTCGGCCTCACCGAGGGGCCCATTCCTCGATACATGGCGCCTCCGGCGCCGGGAGGCGCAGGGAAAATCAGCTACGTGAGCTGATTCTCAAACCCCCCCTTTGCTATCCCCCCCTTTCGCCCGACCCGATATCATCGCCCGGGGATCACCAAAACTAAGCCAACCGCGCAGAGTGTTGACACAAAACCCTTGATGGTTCGTGTGCGGCGGCGACCACGGCGCGGGCGCTCGGTGGAGCGTCGCGGGCTGCCCCGAGTCGGCCGAAGTCAAACGAACCGCGAGCGGAAAGGCACGACGTCAGGAAAACCCCCTTGCGGGGGGTTTTGTCAGCCCGCCTTCGGCGTGGGGGACCCCCCCAGGAGGGGTCCAGGGAGGGTTTTTTTTTTTCAGCGCGCCTTCGGCGCGGGCGGAGGGGCCTAGCCGAAATTGATGCAGGTCGTGAGGGCATCCACGTGAATGTTTGGCTCCGTATCGTTCGCCAGACTAGTGAATACACCCGCAGGGTTGAGGGCCCCACACGGTGTCGAAGACCGAGGCCGACGTCGTCACGACACGAACCCGCTGCATTTTTCCGAAATTCCACGTGATGCATCATGTTCGGATGAGCAAGAGCGCGGGGAAAGGCACGATTTTTCCAGGTTGAGGGACCCACACGGTGTCAAAGACCGAGGCCGACGTCGTCACGACACGACCCCGCTGCATGTTTCTGAAATTCCACTCGATGCATCATGTTCGGACGAGCAAGCGAGCGGGGAGTTGTGCCGCACGCCAGTTTGCCCACGAATGCAGTTTGAGTTGTCGTGTCGTATTGTGCGCAGCCTGATCCGAAACGGTTTCTGTGGCTGCGCCCCGAGTCAAATTACCAATTATTCGTTTCCACGTGCTGTGCAGAGACAGAGAGAGAGAAACACAAAACAACAAAAAAACATGAAAAACAAACTACTAAGAGAGGGAGATGGAGTTGTACACCATCGATCGTTTCCAAGGATCTAGTCAGTACGCACATCAGCGTTTCGCCTAAGCGATGGAAGAAAACGGAGTCGACTGCGAAGACAATCGCGTGTATGCGGCCCGCGTTAGGTCGCGCAGCAGTGCGTTCTTCTCCACGCGGTGTGCCACGCTGACGGCCCGCGCAAGCCGCGGGGTAAGCCGCGGCGTAACGTTACGACATCGTGCGTACGACCCGTCTCTGGTCGTCGTTCTTTTGCGCATGCAATTGGTAGCGGGAACGCGGGAGCGAAGGGTGCACGTGCACGTCGAGCATCTCTTTTCGGTTGCCAGGGCCTCTAGCGCGAGCTTGTCTGCAGGTCGAGCAGTGCGCCAACGGCGCTGTGTACTGCCAGGTCATCGACGCCTGCCATCCCGGGACCGTGCTGATGAAAAAGGCCGCTTTGCTGCCAGTCGAGTCAGAGGGGACGATTCCCCGCGCAGGACGATGCAGTACATCAGTATCGGTTAACCTAACCCCAACCCCATGAAGCCTCCCACCAGCCCACCCCCTCCCGCCGCCCCCGACTTGGGGATATACCCTCCAAAACCCGAGGGAGACGGCCTATATCCCCATCTCGGGGGGTAAATCCCCAAGTGGAGAAAAGGCCACCTAGATGGGGATAGGGTTCGGATAAACGATGCCCATTCGTCTGCGAGGCCACTCGCGGAGCGCAGGTGCAGCGCCGAGTCCGGAGTGCAGGGATCGGAGCCGATCGGGCACGGTCCCAGCGCCGTCAGCCGCCGGGAGGTGGAGTCCGCACAGGTGCAGATTCGGGAGACTCTCCATGGGGGGGGATCCCGTGGGGGGGCAGGAGGGGATCCCCCCCATGGGATCCCCTCCTGCCCCCCCACAGGATCCCCAAGGGATCCCCCCCCTGGGATCCCCATGGGATCCCCCCCCACAGGATCCCATAGGATCCCAGGGAAGGGATCCTATGGGATCCCCCCCCTGGGATCCTATCCCCCCATGGGATCCCCCCCCATGAAGAGTCTTCCGACAGACGTCAGGACCGGTGGGATTCCTGGCCGGTGCTGCAAGGGCTCCCAGGAGGGCGCGAAGTTCTTCGCGCTTCGCGCTTCGCCGTCCTCCTTCCTCCTCCCCCTCCTCCTCGTCCTCCTCTTCTCCTCTTTGGGGGGCGGCGCGAGAGCGCGAAGTTATTCGCGCTTCGCGCTTCGCGCAGCGCGAAGCGCGAACTTAGGAGCCCTTGATGCTGGTGCGCTCTGCCAGGCTATTGCTCGACAAACGTACTGCATTCCGCTGTCCCCGACAGGAAGGCTGGGCGAGTGTAGCCTGGGCTGCACGGTCTGCCCCGGAACGGCAGAACGCAGCAGGACGACGAGGAGCAGCGTGATGCGCAGGAGGGCCAGGGGAGGCAAGGGAGGGTGGGTGAGCGTGGGCAACATATTTCACCACGCACCGAACCACCCCAACCCAACCCGAAGGCTTCAATTCGCCCTCCATTTCCAATGGGGGGGGGCCGGGGAACATTGCCAAAGCATATGGAACCCGCACCAACTCGACATTCGGGTCAAGTTCGGGTCTTCGGGTTGGGTTGGGGTGGTCTGGTAGGTAGTCAATATTGGAAAGCCTTTGCCAACATGTTCTCAGCGCTGATCTCTCGGTTGGGACCTCTTAGGGGCACGCTGCTGGTACGTTGTGGTATGTTGGGTCGTGCTCGAGGGATACAAGAAATAGGTGGATGCTGTGGAGGCGAAGGAGGAATGGGGGAGATGCGGATGACCGCCGCACTTGGAGTACGGTCGGACAGAGGTATGAGATCGAGGTTAGTTCAGGGAGGGTGTCCTAATGGTTTTCGTGTCTGATGGATGTTCCTTGTGCATCCTGGGGTAGGGTACCCTGGGATGTTCTGTGTCTTTGGGCCGACGGAGGTTCCCCTGTTCTTGAAGGACGTGGTTCGGCCCCGTGTCCGGCCGTACCGGCGGCGAGGGGGCGGCGGAGAGCCCGAGCTTCGCGTGGCCAGCAGCGGTGATGCCCTCCGGTGCTCTCGACGGCCAGAGAGAGCACAGCGGGTGAGCCTGCGCAGCGGGACTCACGGCGGCCCCCCCAGGCGGAATTTCGGCGGCGAGCGAGGGGGGGGAAGCGAGAAGGAGGGGGCATTCTCGGAAGGCGGCGAGGCTTCTCAGAAGCCCTCGGGCTTTCGGGAAGTTTTCTGTGTCTTCGGGGGAGGCTCAGAGAACTTCTCAGAAGGCTGGGGGGCTTCCGAGCCTTCCGATCAGGACCGCCGCTTTTCACTTTCCCCCCCAGCTCGCCGCCGAGACTTAGCACGCAAATCGCTCAATGCTTGACTGTTGGGGGTTTGGTTTGGGCACGCTGGACTTGTGTGGCCGAACATTTCAGACGCCTCCTGAGGCACAAGGTGCGCGCTTCGCTGTCCCAACTTCACCCTGCGTTGCGTAAGAGTTTAAGCCCCTGCTGCTTCGGGCTCTGTTTTCCGCGCCTCGTGTCCTCCGTGTTCCCAACCCTCCTGTATTGGGTTCTCGTTTTGAGTAGAGCACTGCTGTCTCCATTCTCCTTCCCCTTTCCTCCTCCTCCGCCTCTTCTCCCCTCCTGCCTCCACCCTTCTGTCTCCTCCTGCGCTGCTCCCTGGAAGGCCGCGAATTGCGCAACTGTCGCCATGTTCGTGGGCTCCTGGGAGGTCCAGCGGGGTGGGGGGGGGGCCACGCAGATCCAACGTGTAGTTTGCTGTTCCTTGTGAGGGCTGCCAACTGAGCAATTGTCGCCACTTTCGTAAACTCCCGGGAGGTCCAGCGGAGGGGGGGGGGGGCACGCAGCTCCAGCGGGGACCTCGTTGCTCCCTCGGGGGGGCTGCCAACTGCGCGATTGTCGCCACTTTCGCGGGCTCCTGGGGGGTCCACCGGAGGGGGGGGGGGGGGGGCACGCAGATCCAGAGGAGGCCCCGCGGCTCCCTGTGGGGCTGTCAGTTGCGGAACTGTCGCCGCTTACGTGGGCTCCTGGGAGGTCCAGCGGAGAGGGGGGGGGCACGCAGATCCAGCGGGCACAGTGCGGCTCCTCGCGGGGCTACCAACTGCGCAAGCGTCGCCCCGCACGCTGGCTCTTGCAAGGTTTAACGGGGTGGGGGCCTCGCGGTACAGCGGAGAACTCGTTGCTCCTTGGGAGGGTGGGGCATCTGCGCAACCGTCGCCACTTTCGTGGGCTCCTGGGAGGTCCAGCGGAGGGGGGGGGGGGGGCGCGCATTTCCAGCGGGGACCTCGCGGCTCTCTGTGGGGCTGCCACCTGCGCAACCGTTGTCGCCATGTTCGTGGGATCCTGGGAGGTCCAGCGGCGTGGGGGGGCCGCGCATATCCAGCGGGGACTTCGCGGCTCCTTGTGGGGCTACCAATTGTGCTCTCTCGGAGAGCAGTGGGCCGAAGGAGACACGGTACGCCAAGGCGGAAGAAGCCCCTCTTCTCTCGGAGGTTGGTTTGCACGGTCGTCCATGTCGTCAGCGTAATGATCATGATGATGACGCGGATAACGATGAGGATGAGGATGATGAGGATGAAGATGATGAGGACGATGGGGATGCTATTGGTCATGACGAGGATGACGATGATGATTTCGGTCCCCCCACTCTTCCTTCCTTCTCCTCGTTCTCCATTCCTGTCCCCCGTCTTATGTTGTGCACATGCGGTGCGTGGTCCGACATTGTTTCGCGACGCCGTCCTGGGTTCTGCACATCTAGCAGATGTGTTTCTGCATGAAGTGTTCGCAGTCGTTGTCGCCTCACGTGAAGAAGGGGTTGGGTACGTCTCGGGCACGTGCTGCGTCGTCCCCACCAGCTTTCGCCCCATGGAGAACATTCGCCGCCGCTCCTCGTCGCTTAGTCCCGCATCGCTTCGGCACGATGTGCAACAAGTGAAGCTGGGCCTGTCGTGTGATCATCGCGAGGCCTCGTGGGGAGTGTTGCAGGGCTCTCTTGGGGCTCTCTTGGGGCTCTCTTGGGGCCTCTTGGGCCATATTGGCGTCCTTTCTCGGGTCGTTGGGTCGTTTGGGAGGGTCTGGGCGACGCGTAATAGGGAGTCGTGGGACCGTCACGGAACAGTCTACTGCCATCTTGGACAAATTTCGGGCCCATTTTGGAGTCCAGCCAGCAACCTCTCGAGGGCAAGTTCGGGCCATATTGGGGGCATCTTGGGATGTTAGGAGGCCTTTGGGAGGATTCCCAGACCCTCTCGGACGTGTCTGGACGTGATAAGGCGAGATACGAGTAGTATTGCCAAGGCATGAGGTTTGGATGATTTGGGGTGCCTGAGCTGCTCTCTTGGGGCCTCATTCAGCATTCCTGGGATTGGGCACCTTGAGCTTCTCTTGAGGCCTCCCTGGGCGTGCTGCAGCCAGTGGATCCGGAGGCTCTGAGGGCCCAGGCGGTGCGTGGAGGAGCTCCCCCCCTCATCACCCCCCAGCCGAGGCTCCAGCCGGAGGAGAAGGAGAAGGAGGAGGAGGAGGAGGAGGAGGAGCGAGGAGCGAGGAGGAGAAGGAGGAGGAGGAGGAGGAGGAGCGAGGAGGAGGAGGAGGAGGACGAGGAGGAGGAAGAGGCGCGCGGAGGAGGAGCGAGGAGGAGGAGGAGGAGGAGGAGGAGGAGGAGGAGGAGCGAGGAGGTGGAGAAGCGAGGAGAAGGAGGAGGAGGAGGAGCGAGGAGGAGGAGGAGGAGGAGCTCTGAGGCCCCCACCCTACCCGAGGGCCCCGCCCTCTCTAGCAGGATTTTGGCCCCCCATGGGGCGGAGAGGCAGGGCCCCCTGCGATCCGATCCGATGCGATTCGATTCGCCGGCGGGGGCCGCGACTTCCGATATCGAGTCGATCGGGTTCGATTCACCAGCATCGGCCAGGTCCAGCCAGAGCTGTGCGCGGCGATCCGATTTCGATTCGATTCAAAACGATTCGTTGGCGATCCGATCCGTTTCCGATCCGATCCGATTTCGCGATTCGATCCAGCTCAGGCCTGACAAGGGAATGTAGGACAGCGATACATCTCACATGCCTTCTCTCAACCCCAGCCAGCGGTGGTCGGCGGATCTTCCTCTCTGCTGTCGTTGTTCATTTCGCTGCAAGCGGCTTTCGCCGCTTCAGACTTTCGCGGTGACGGTGCTGGCAGTCGGTCTTGTTCAAGGAATCGCAGTGCGTTGCAGAACGATCGTCCCCGACTTCTCGCTTTAGAGTTGATTTGGACGAGTGCTGCGTTGCATCGTGATGTATGCAAGATTGTGTGCTTGTGTGCCAGGTGAACTGGAATGCCCGAGCTGAGCACGAGTCTGTTCCGAACTATAAGGCGGGCTTATTCCGGATGGGATGCGAGCTAGCCAACGCCTCGCATTTTTGTAAGTATAGTGCCAATGGACGCTATCATTCGACAGTGGTGTGAAGAAGGGATGGGCAGTCACCACAAGTTCATGTTGCATGGCGTAGTCCTTTATCGGTGCCAGTTTGATGATACGGCGGAGACTTCTGGAGTGCCTGCTCACCAGTGTGGATGCATACGCTGAATAATTTCTGGAGCCGCCACGATGGGTTGGCCCAGCAGCCTCCCCGGTGTACACCCCACTGTGAGTTGCTTCCAGGGGTGGGGCACCACTGAGTGAAATATGTTGTTTCTTGTGAGACTATGTTGACATAGGAGGAGGAGGAGGAGGAGGAGGAGGAGGAGGAGGAGGAGGAGGAGAAGGAGGACATTCGAGGACATTCGAGCGAGGGGCTCCGCGGTCGACTCGGCCGCCGCGGCCCCCGCCCGCGCAGGCCGCGCGGGCTCTCAGGGGTCGCGACCCCACCCCCTGAGCAGGGCGGGTGTCCACCCCACTGGCACTCCAGGCCAGAGTATCTCTGCGGGGCCGTAGCCCCGTGCCATGAGGTCAACCACGAGGTCGTCGCCCAGCTGCAACTCGTGGTAGCCGCCCGCCGTTAGGCGGGATCGTCCCATCTGGCCAATTCTGGCCAGCCTTTGGTGGTAATCCTTGTCGTAGCCGACGAAGTACAGTAGTCCCGCTCTGCGTGATCTTGTTCCTGCACTCCGTCGCCAGTAGGTTCACTCTGCCGTGTCCGTAGTCGTTGTGCGAAGCCACCGCAGCACAATTCCAGCACCAGAACTGCCCACGGGCCACTGCAATGCTGTGGCTGTCGTGGACCACTTTGTCTTTTGATCTCAATCAGCTCGTTGTTGGGAACACGGACTGCAAGTCCATGATCTGTTCGGTGTGTCTCGTACTGCCTCCCGATGCACACGTTAGCCTTCATCCAGTCGACCACGCTGTACTTGCCTGGGGTTAGCCAGCACTCTTGGCATACCCATTGCCCTTTCTTCTTTCGCATTCTGTGGCCCGACTCCTTCTCGATCTGATCTCTTCTTTCCTTTGCTATTGTCTTAGGCATCTGCTTGGGCCTCTCAAGCTTGGTGGGGTCCGCATCCTTGCACACCTCGTGGATGATCGCTGCTGCCCGCCTTTGGGCCCTCATAAGTGTAGTCTCCACTTCCACCAACGCCTTGACCTCCTGCCGTATTTCTGCCATTGCCTCTTCTGCTCCTCGCTGCGCCAACGTATCCGCCATCTCATTGCCCATGCTGATGTGGAACTCCTGGCCAGCCTGCTTAACCGATTCGCCGTCGAGGTGGGATAAGCACTTCTGGACACGTACTCCATACACACCGCCAGACCGCCTGCTGAGCATAAGTTTTATCCTTTCCCACCATGGTCGCTGAGCACCTTGGGGCTGCTCGTAATACTTGAGGGTCCAGCCATTCATAACCATCTGGCAGTCCGTGATGATCAATAACGGGCCTCGCGTCAGCGCCAGTGCCCAGAAAAGTCCTGCATGTTCAGCAGCGGGTACACTTTGTTCTCCATCTACGGTGCCATAGAACCCGATATGGTCTGTGCCTTCAATGAAGCCCGTGCTGTCGTTCGGCAGGCTGGCCTTGTAGATCTCGTGGGCCACCACATGCATGGCTGCTGGTCGGTCCTCATCATTGTCTTCATAATTTTCAGGCATTTCCTGGTCGAAAGTGGGTGCTCGGTCTTGCAATAGTTCGCGGAACTTGGCCTTGATGTCCGCTACGCTGTCGAACCAGTGGGATATGTATGCTTCTCTTTCCCAGCCCGTAAGGGTGAGGGAGTAATCGTACACGTCTTTCCGCTTCTTCTTGGACGATCTCCATTGCATATCACAAAGGTCCTTCGCAATCTGGCTAGTGCTTCGGGTCTTGCTTTGAGTAAGTGTCGTAGTGCTGCTTGTTCTGGTTGTCGCAGGTAGCTTTCCATGTACGGTTCACACCACATCTTCCAATTAGCTTGGTTCCTGGCCTCGTCTAGGTCGATGTATACCGTCCATGTAGCTGCCCATATGCCAAGGTCGTGCATGATGCCCTTTCTCTGCTCCTCCGCTTCTGTGTCCGTTGGTGCACTAGCCTCTGCTTCATGGCACAACTCAGTTGGGCTCCCTTGTGCCACGAGGGCGTTGGGGCACCACATGTGCGCTTGCCCTGGCCGCTTCCATCGTTCATATCGTAGCTGTAATGTGAGGCCCCATCCCACTCTATTGATGCGCATGTCGTTGCTGGTGCCTGATCCATCTACGAAAGCCATGCTGCACTGAACGGGATCCATCGTGACCAAATTGCTTGCTATTAATTTGGGTCCTCTTGCCATTCCAATCACCCCATGCTGGTGGATCAGGTACAGGATTCCTGTGCTTGGGGAGTAGCCCTCGTAGCCAGTATGCCTCCGTCTCTGGGTTGTCGCGCATCTCCTCTAAGGCCTTCTGACATAACGACTGTGACTTGACCACCGCGTCAATCTGGAGGTTGTCGTTCATTTCGCACTCGTAGATCCTGTGCTTCAGCGTGTCAGGCGCCTTACTACAACGCGGACAAACTCCATCTGTCTGGTATCTTGCTGCTTTACATCGTTGTCCTGTCCATATCGTGCCACGGAGGAGGAGGAGGAGGAGGAGGAGGAGGGGGAGGAGGGGGACGAGGGGGAGGAGGAGGAGGAGGAGGAGGAGGAGGAGGAGGAGGAGGAGGAAGAAGACGGGGTCGACTGCGCGAACATTCGCGCGTGAGCTGCCCGCGGAAGGCCCCGCGGAAGCGCCCTCGTTTCCAACGCAGCGTGCCGCGCTGGCGGCCCGCATAAGCCACCGCGCAGCGTCGCTACGCCATCGCGCGTTAGACCTCTTCGTTCCGTCGCTCACAGCGTGCTCGAGCCTCGATCGCCGAGGAGGAAGGCGCCGGGGCATCGGGGCCGGGCGGGGGGCCGGCGGCGTGCCGGCGGGAACACTCTCAGGGTGCCGGGGCTGCGGGGCCAGCCAGGGCCGGCAGCGAGCCAAACACAGGCCCATCATGTTTCATCCCTTCCCTTGAGCCTTGTCCCTTCTCGTCGAGGTTGTTGGGTTTGTTCTTGTAAATCACGAACGTTTGTGTTTGAGCTAGACATAAGTATGTGTATGCTCGTGTGCGCACACATATAAACCTACAAATATATATATATATATATATATATATATATATACATATATATATATATACACATGTTCATACACGGTGGCCTTCGTGGGTCAAAATTCCCAGAGATGCTTCTTCGGATCTCTTCGAGGCGCTCTCGGGGCCTCTTGGGAGCAGTTTTGGGGCCTCTTGGGAGCCTCTTGGGGGCCTCTGGGGAGCCTCTTGGGGCCTCTTGGGAGTCTCTTGGGACCTCTTGGGGTTATCTTGGGGGCCTCTTGGGGCCTCCGGGAGGGCCCTCGGGGCCGAGGGCTCGAAATGTCCGTTCGGGTTCACCACCTGGGCTTCCTCTTGGGGTCGTCTTTGGGCCCTCTTGGGCCGTGCTGGGCGCCTCTTGGGTCGTCTTGGTGCCCTCTTGGGCCGTCTTGGGGCCCTCTGGGGAGCCTCTGGGGCCGTCTTGGGGCGATCTTGGGGGCCTCGTGGTCCGTCTTGGAGCGTCGGCAAGCTGATAATGTGAGAAGGCCCAAGACCTTCAAACATCAAAGGATAAGCAATGATTTGTGCATCTTGATGCCCTCTTGGGACGCCTCTTGGAACACTCTTGGGACGTCTTCGGGGCCTCTTGGGCCGTGTTGAGGCCGCCTTGGGCGTATTGGGGCATTCTTGGGCCTTCTCGGAGGCATCTTCGGCCCTCTTGGGTGCTTGTTAGGCCCATCTTTGACTGGCTGCGCTACTGGAGAGGACAGGGGGTAGGGAAAGGGGTAAACCCCTCCCCGAAGGGGAAGAAGGAGGAGTGGAAGAGAAAACTCCCGAAACCACCTACGCCCAGAGAGCTGGTGGGATTTACAGAGGATCGTCGCCTCGGGTGCGGGAATCAGGTATAATTTACGAGGACTGGTTTCGGGGGCACGAACGTTGCGCAATGTACAAAGGGTTTCTGGTCTCGGGAGCGCAAATCTGGCGTGATTTACAAGGGGCCCTGGCCTCGGGAGTGCGAATTTGGCGTAACGCATGAGAGAGTATGGCCTCGCGAGCGCGCATCTGCGGCAATTTATTATGGATTCTACACTCGGGATCGCGAATATGATGAAATGTGAACGGAATTCTGGCATGCGTATACATATGTATATATATATATATGTATACATACATACATACATACATACATACATACATACATACATACATACGAGAGAGCGCGCCCACATGGCCCGAGCAAAGGGGAGGGGGGCTAGGCTTAAGCTACCCCCCCCTCCCTTGAGCCGCCCTTGTTGGAAGCCCCCCCCCCTCCCCCCGTTTTTTTTTGCAAGGGGGGGGGGGCTTACAGCTACCCCCCCCTTCCCCCCTTGGGCCCTCCGCGGAAGCTACCCCCCCTCCCCCCTTTCCAAAGGGGGGGGGGGTGCTTAAGCCACCCCCCCCTCCCTTGGCGCCGCCCTGCTGGAAGCTACCTCCCCCCCTCCCCCCCTTTCGTGCAAAGGGGGAGGGGGGCTTGGAAGCTACCCACCCCCCACCCCCCTTTGGCCGCCCCGGAAGCTACCCCCCCCTACCCCCGGGGGGGTGCTTAAGCTACCGCCCCCCTCCCTTGGAGCCGCCCTGCTGGAAGCTCCCACCCCCCTCCCCCCCTTTGTGCCAAAGGGGGGGGGGGCTTGGAAGCTTGCCCCCCCCCCTTGCCCCCTTTGGCCGCCCAGCCCCCGGAGCCTCCGCCCTCCCTTTCGCCGACGATCCAAAATGAACAATCCACGATCGAGGATGGACGATCGACGATCAACGATCGACGATCGAAAATCCCAATCGAATCGCTTGCAATCGATTGCACTCCATTCCACTGCAATCCCCCTCCCCAT